GGGCTTCTGTGTGTGGGTGATGTCACCCAGCAACACAGTGGGGACCCTCCAGGTCACAGAGCCTGAGGCTGCCGTGGTTTCAGGTCATTATGGCTTCTTTTATCTGACATCAGCAAGCAGATGTTGGGGCAGCTGTGTGGGTCACATAAAGCAGACAAACCAACCAAAGCTTAGCTGAGTTTATATTTAAGGCAATCGTATATATATACAAGTTTGAGTTTGGCACCAGGAGTCTTTTGAGCTGACAGGTCTCAGGCTACAGGCAAGAAATAAAACAATCTAGTGGTCAACACACAGAGGCCACCTTCAGCTCCTTTATGTAAAAAGGACTTTGTAATTAACTGAGTTATAAATCTAACAATTAGTTAATATCAGCACATTGAAGACCTGAGGCACAAACTGTGAACAAATTATTAGAGTAGCTAACATTTTTCATGTATTTACTCTGTGGCAGGTACCATGCCACATGCTACATTCAAACTACATCAATTAATCTTCAAAACGGCTCCACAGGCATGCATTATTATTACCACTGTAGTTTTATTCCTGTCATCTGCATTTACAGATGGGAAAATGGAGGGGTTGAGGCTACGCGGCTAGTTGGACGGGTGGCTAGAGTGGAGATCCAGGGGGATTCTTCCCTCCAATCACCTGCCACCCCATCTCCCAGCGACCAGGCAGTCTCTGCTGACCTCAGCTTACATTGGTAAGGTTTGAGGGAATCCCCAAGTGATGCCTCTCATTCCATGTGACGCTCCTAGGATTGCGTGGGTGGTCCCCAGGTCACAGCAGTGCAGCCTCCTGAGCAGTGGCTATACGGGAAGTGGGCAGCATGGAGAGTTGCCCAGGGCAGGACAGGAGGGACAGCTGGGTTGACCCACAGGAGAGCAGAGGAAGATCAGGTGGTGTGCAGGCAGGACCCGGTGCCTCTGGTCCCCTAGTGCCCTGCTGTTCCATGTCCACTTTCTTCTAGGATCCAGGAAGTTGTCATGGCAAAGGGAACGATCGTCAGGGCACCACATGATGGCTCTTGGATATTTAAGTAGCCAAAGCGAGTCCCATGTTGCAGCCTGACATCAGTGAAAGCAAGGAAGCATGCTTCTTCCACAAGGAGGGGTCCTAAGGGGGATTCCTCAAGGGTAGGCTGAGAGAAGGGCAGATTTCAAAGCAATAATTAAACCACCATAAATGGATTCATAAACAGATGATTGCAATACAGTGCGGTAGGGTTCCTGGCAGGATTCTTTAAGCACCAGAAGAGATGCTAAACTCTATCAGTTTTTCTTTTGGAACAAAGTAAACAGAGCAGGTGTTGGTGACCCAGCCTCAGTTTCCAGAAGGAGGACAAATAGAGTTGTGATAGATGCATTCTGAGAATTTGAAACACAGAGAGAAAGCCCTGACAGTAACTCTTCGCTCCCGAGAACTGACTGAAGGAGTTTTGCTGGTCCACCAGGGTCGGCAGGTCCAGGCGTGAAGGGCTGGGGAGCTGGGGTGTCCAGGGACAGTGCTGTTCTGGGTTACTCTTTATTATGGTTTGGAGTTTACTTGAGAATTTAAATATGCCTCTTTAACCTAACACCTTGTGCCTGTAAATAATATTATACCGCTTTACATATTTTCAGTTTTTTTTTTTTTTTACTTTAGAGAGAAATAATAAAAAGAATGATACAAAATGTCAAAATAAGATAGCAGCAGGGTAACAATGGTTCATGCTTGTGCATTGTTGTCTCCCAAGTAAGTGCTCAGGTTACAAGGAAAAAGCACGAAAAATGGTTCAAACAATACAGGCACAAACTTTTCAATGAACTAAAAGAAATCTTAACTATCTTGTGTATATACATAGATTTTTTTCTTCTTTTCTCCATCCCAGTTTCTTTTTCCTTTTGAACAGTGTTTTCTCATTCCACAATCTCTATTGAATATGTTGGATCTTGTGTACTCTTTGAGCTTCTCCCCCTAGGGAGACGATGTGATGCTTACATATGTGAGTCTGATTTATGTTGGAGTCTCACAATATGCTTCCATTCATGTCCTCATTCTTGGTGGTAGTATTGTGATATATTTAAGTTCCATGCATGTGATCAACCTATGCACACATCATCCCTGTTTTTTACTTTAAACATCAACTATATTTTAACTAAATTAAAAAAGGAGGAAGTATATTTACGTTATTAGTGTATTTGCCTTGGCAAATATTTTTGTTGGTTTTCATAAACACAAATGTCCTGCTTCCACCTAGAGAAATTCCTTTATCATTTATTTCAGTGCAAGTCTGCCAGGGCGAAGTTCTGTTAGATTTCCTTTACCTACAAATGTTTGTCTTTTGCCTTTCTGTTAAAAAGATATTATTGCTGAGTGTGGGTTTCTCTAAGTTGGCAAGTTTTTTTTTCCCACTTTAAGTAAAGTCATTTCTTTTATCTTCTTATTTGTGTGACTCTAATGAAACTTTCCAATTAGAGTCTGCTATCATTCTTTGTTTTTCTGAATCAAACTTGCTTTTTTATTTTGGCTCATTTTAAGATCTTTTTAGAGAGAGGAAGCCCGAGTGTGTGTGCGAGTGTGTGTGTGTGTGTGTGTGTGTGTGTGTGTGTGTGTGTTTGCTAACAATTATACTTTGATATCATTTTCTTTGTGTTTATGCTGCTTAGGGCTTACTGAGATCCTTGAGTTTATAGTTCTAACACATTTGGGAAAAAATTTGGGCACAATCTCTTAACTATTGTTTATTGTCCCCCTCTCTATCTTGGACCCCAGATGTATATAAATTAGGCAACCTTGCAGGTCACGTTGTTACCAAGATACCATCCAATCGCGCTGGATAATTTTGTTGCTATGATTCCAAGTTCACTGCCTTTCTCTTCTGCTATGTCAATTATGACATTGATCTCACCCAGTTAAAATTTCATTTTTGAGCCTTAGATTTCCCTTTGGTTCTTAATTAAGCTTGCTATTTTTCTCCTCTACAACTGTGTTTTAGTTTACAACCTTAAACACGTAGAGCACATTCCCGACAGCTGTCTTACTGCTGTGCTTGCTAATAATGTCACTTGCGGGTCTGTTTCTATACACTGATTTCTCTCTGTTGTGAGTTTCTGTATACTGATTTTTATATGAGTTATGAGCTACATTATCTTGCTTTTTTTGCAAGTCAGGTGATTTCTTATTGGATATTACGTATTATGAACTTTACATTTTTGATTACTAAGTCTTTCTGCAAAAAGTGTGCAGTTTCTTTTTTCTGGCCAATGTTTTTAACTTCTTCAAGACTATCTAGATCCTTTCAAGACTTACTTTTAAGCTTGTTTTTTGGGGTGGTGTGGAACAATACTAGCCTATAGGTATCAGTTGGCCTCATTTCTAATGCCTGCACGTGTGATGCAGCTACTGAATACACTAAATATTCCAGCAAAGTCTCTGCTCTCAGACTGGTGATCTAGCAACAGTAGCCCCAGGGGATCCCCTACAATTTTGGCTCACAGGTCCCCAGTAACTTTTTTGAAATTTTTCTTGCCTGTTCATGTAGGTAGTTTTATTTTACCTATATGCAGGGCTGATGTCCAGCCAGCAACTCAAGGAAGTCCTGTCGAGATTTTTGGAGATTTCCGTGTAATTTAAGGGCCAGGATTCTGCCCTGCAAATCTCTGCCTCAGCCTCCCAATTTCCATCTTGTAGGGAGACTCAGGGCAGTTTCTGGACTCTGTAGCTTCTTCGTGCTGAAGTCTGGAAATTTGCACTCCTCAGCAGACGTGGAGAGGATGGACTAAGCGTGTGTTTCTCCCTTTCCTGAGGAGCACTGGCTGTTGTTTCTAAGAGTGTCCAGTTTTCTAGTTATTCATGGCAGGGGGGCAATCTGGGCCTTCTTCCTGCCTTTGGCCGGAAGCAGAAGTCTTCAAAGCCACCCTTTCATATGCCAATTTAACGATTTCCTTCCCCATTAGAATTGTGGCTAGCACGGTAGCTTTACTGAGAACTCCTAGGCCGTACCTGTGTTCATTTATTTGCTTGTCTGTTTGAAAGCATCGATTTAGCTGGGGTATGGTGGTGTGTGCTTGTGATCCCAGCAACTGAAAAGCTGGGGCAGGATATTAACAATTCATTAGTACATGGTGTGGGAAACTTAGCAACTTTGTGAAGACTGAAATTAAAAAATAAAAAGGATAGAAAGATAGCTTAGGTAAAGACCCTGGGATCAATCTCCAGTCCTGGGAAAACAAAACAAAATACAAGACAAAAACCAGTCTAGATTTACCTGAAATTTATAGAAATTCATAATTTAATTCACTGACATATAAGAGAAATAATTCTGTAATATTTACTTGGTGCTGTCTACTTCTAGATAGTATAGGAAATATAATGGTACAGAGTTAGAAAACTTTTGTTCTTATTGAATGTACAGGAGAGAAAGCAGAGAGAAAACAGCGTAACAAATGAGATAAAAATCTTAAAATCTATAACATGTCAGATGGTGAGTGCGGTGGGAATTATGAGGATATAATGATTCTCCCGGCCCACACGAGGTACTGGTTGGAAACATGCCTGCTGCACCTTCATAAACTTTAATGACAGAGGCCATCTGCTTAGAGGTAAATCAGCCAGCCATATTACCATCAACGTAAATCTCGGCCAAGACCATCCCCTATGCCCTGTTAATCTCTCTAGCTCGTGAACACTTAACTGCAAGGCCACATTCCTGGGGCTGTTTGCTAACTTGCTTCCTTAGCTTCTCTAACAACATTGGATGCAGCCTGAGGTGGGTTCCACGTCTGGTTTTGCTCAGGAGCGTAACCCAAGAACTCTGTGGAGCTTTGACCTTCAGAGAGTGGTCGATAAACACAGGCTAGCTGTTAAATCATTTGTTAGAGGAATGCATGGCTCCACGACGTGGTTCTTGAGATCTCTCTGATTTATATTTCGCTTTTCTCTTGAAATGTGTCAGTCCATTTCACTCTGAAAATTACCAGTTATAACTTCATTTTTCTCTCTTTCTCTTGTCACAGCTGTACAGTCTTTGCATACCCTGAATGACCAGATTTCCCACTTTATTGTCACCAAGTCGAAGGCACTGGAGGAAGACAAGGACCCCTTTCTACCGACCGAGAAAGAGACTCTGAAGAGCTCCATGATTTTGATGAGGCACCTTTTAATGGATGCTCAGGTACAAAGATCAATAGAGAAATTCTACATAGAGGGGTGTCTTTTTTCTTCCCTGGTATGAATGCTCAGCTATCAAACCTACTAAAAGTCACTTTTGTGATAAACAACCATATAACAGATATTCTAATATTGTGTGTCCTGGATTTCTGATTAGGTTATATTTGGATTCGGTATTAAGATGGCTTCTTTTTAAATAAGTGTTAAGGCTTAGAAACAATATATATGTTGTGTCTGCGAATTTAATGGTTCTCCCACTAACCCTGGAAAGTGAAAAGCCATTTACATACAGACTTGGCAGGCATCAAAGCTGGCAAAGATGCTGGAATGCAACAAATACTTCTCCCAAACTGCATCTCCGAGCAGCTAATGAATATTTTGGTACAGTTGATGTACCACCCAGTAAGTGAATCAGCATTCTTTTTGTCGTTAACACCAGCAATGAATTCATTCCAGAAGGTATTTTGTTTGTTGTCTGCTATTGTAGAGTTGTTATTTTCGAAGGTTTCCCTTAGTAAGCTATTATATTGAAATATTTAAAAATAAGCTATCTCCTCGTTCTGGCTATGTTGGTGGCTGTCTCCAGAAATGCTGATAGACAAACGGTAGGTGCTTTAAGAGGCCTGGTAGTTTCTTTTTAGTGTGTGTGTGTGTGTGTGTGTGTGTGTGTGTGTGAGAGAGAGAGAGAGAGAGACAGAGACAGAGACAGAGACAGAGACAGAGACAGAGAGATATTCCTGGAGCTTTCTTCCTGAGTTTGAGTTTGTGTTCTCTTAAATAGGAGTGAGATCAGAAGGGTCGGTGGTTTCCTGCGTTCGTTCTGTAGCGAAGATTTCGAACTGTGTTGTTTTGCTTTTGTTTCTATGGTGGTGAGGCTTTATGTTTTATTTTTTGAATGAGTCCCCAAACCTGGATCTTGTACTAGTAAGACTAACTGGCGATGCTTTTGTGTGTGTCTCATCTGTCAATGTTTGAAGCTGCCCCGTGGCCCTGTGGGATTCTCGAGGCCCGTGTTGAGATACCCCGAATTATGCAAAGCCTTTCATTCCTATTCACTGTGCTCCCTTCCCCTCTTATTATGAGCAGCGGTTCGGCTTCCCTGTCCTCCCCAAGCTGTCGGGAGAGAAAGGAAGCATTCTGAAGTGACAGCGGCCAATTTTCAAACTCAGTAAAAGGGAAATTTAGAGCAATTTACTGAATAAAGAGAGCAAATTGTTCTTGAAAGGATTAACTTTCCTCAATGCCTGAACTCAATCCTATAGCTAACACCCCAGCCCGGGAACCATCTAAATGAGTCCCCAAAGATATTGTGCAAATGCTAGGTTGCAAAATCTAAGAGAAGAAACAATTCATTGTTTTTGTTTTCTAGCACATTTGAGCTTGCCAGTGCCTGGAACTGGACTTCGAAAATTTTAAATGTTAGAGAGAAGTTGGATAGTAGGAACCAGAATACCGCTGAATGAGAGGAATAAGTCGTGCTGTCTAGAGTTTACAATGCATTCTATATTTTATAAGTAACTAAAGAGAATAATTCAAAAGCTCCCAACATGGAAGTGATAGGAAGTGATACATTTTTAAGGAGACAGAAATGCCAGTTACTTTAGTTTGATCACAACATATTGTATACATTTGAATTACCACACTGTACCCCAGAAATCTGTGCAATCACTAATGGCAATTAAAATGTTTTCCATTGCTTAAGGAGAAATTTCTTCTCCTAAATGCCTAATTCAGTTGACAGCTTTAATCCTCACTGGTACTGAAAATGGTTTTTCCTTTTTTAAAAAGGGGATTAAAATCGCCTATATAATGTGGTTGGTAGGAATATTTTATTATCTCATTCTCTCCTGTTCCCAAATCAATACACACCAGATTGTTCTCGTTTAGATACTAAGATAAAAGGTACCCACGTGCAGTTATGTACTTTAAAATCGAGATGGGGTGGGTCTACTTCCCAAGGAAACCCTCAAAAGGTTCCTGGAAAAACTATTGTCTTTTTTAACCTCTTACTGTTCAAAGATTCCTTGTTTATTTTTCTTTCTAGAATAATAAAGGCTGAAATCTGTTCTGATTAGTTTAGTCCAAAAATACCACCCCCGTGTCTTTTCTTCCAAACTCACTATTTGAAATATAATTTGTGGTTTGGAGTCCACATCCCTGGCGGAAGTCGAATGCAAGCACATTGTCTAATTCCCCCAGGCTCAAAACAGCTCTGAAATGCACTCTCAGACTGATGCTGCCAAGTTTTCACAGCGCTTAAGGAACTCAACATTTTGAGAATGGCAAGAGTGATGTCTGGAAATACATTATTTTGGGGGAGAATCTTTATAGAGGGCGTTTTCTAGAAGACAGGTCATTTTTTGAAAATCTCTTTTAAACATTGCTTCCTCTTACCTCATTTCCAAAGAAAAATGAATGTACTTATTTATCTCTGAAGTTCATTAATAGGGGGAAGTTGACAGAATTTGAATGTAATTTACATGTATGTACATCCTCCCATCAGGCCTGCATTTGATGATGTTAGTACCCAACTGGCAGCTGTGTGTGCTGTGGGATGCATGCTGAGGGGTACCCGCCCCACTTAACTTTCTTGGTATAATATCTCTGGCACTTCCATGCCCCAAGGGCTCTTCGTAGATTACGGTGAAACACTCTGACACCAGTTTACAAGTTGAAGGAAGTCGGCAAAAAGTATTCCAGAGAACCAGAGGCTGTTTGGGGAAGGGGCTGCTTGCAGGCATAATTGATTCTAGTCACATCTGTCTTGGAAGCAATAAATCCCCTTAGGAGGATGTCAAAGGCAGATGCGTTCCTGTGTTGTGAAATTCCACCTCTGCGGATTATAAAACAGTGTGCCCTGAGCAAACACATCTCCCCTGTGGAATGGGGGTACCAGAGATGACTGGCAGGCCTGACAATCGTCCTAGCGAATGGAGTCAGGGAGGGGGCATCCACAGGGGCAGACCCTGAAGCCTGCCATGATTTATTCATTCCTAAAAGTTTTCAGCCTCAGGGTGTCTGAAAGAGCCTGAGCACCTCAATTTGCATTCCATTCCCTCTTCAGTCTGCAGGTCCCCAAATTCCATGAAGTATCCCATTCAGATCTCATGTGAAACCTGATCTCGGGGCTTTTATTCCAGAGAGCTCTGTCTAAACCCCAGAATGCCAACTCAGCCTAGTAAATGATTAGATTCATAACTCCAAAGAGCAATTCTTTCTGGTGGAGAGTAATTCTTTGACTCACACTGTGTGACTCTGCATACTAAGAGGGGTTGATTACAGCAAATTAAACCTCTCATTGGCAGTAATCCTCCTCTTCCCCCCAAAGACTTCCTATCAGTATTTACTAAGGGGGCGCAAATGTTTGGGAACCTGGGAAGATGGTGCGGCTCCTGGCAGAGGCCTCCTCTTGAAGGACAAGTGCCAAAGAACAGAGACCGTCATGAACCCTGAGCTCCTTCTACCACTGCATGAACACCAGAGGAGGGGCCCATGCTTCACCCATCCAGGGCCGCTTCTGGACCTGAGCAGTGAGCCCCTGGCTTCCTCGCCTAGAATTGCCTTGGGGAGCGCCTTTTTAGAGAGGTTGGGACTGGGCACAGTGCCTTATACCTGTAAACCCAGTAATCTGGGAAGAGGGTGAAGCAGGAAGATGGTAAATTGGAGCTCAGCCCAGGGCAACCTCGAGATTTAGTGAAATCCTGTCTCAAAATGAAAAAGGATTGGGGGCTGTGGGTGTAGCTAAGTGCAAAAGCCCTAGATTCAATTCCTAGGAGGGTGAGAGGGAGAGACAGAGAGGGGGAGGCTGGGGTCATGGGCACAACCTTCCTGTAGATCTGTCTCTGCGAACAAAGTAAAATAAGCAAAGCTTTAAAACTACAAGCAATCACACAACTGACATTTCTAAGCAAGTCTATGCCTGAGCCTGGCACAAGGCAAATGTTAGGTGGAAAAGCAATCCAACAGACTTCGTCCTCTAAATTCTTCCTTTTCCCCTGCTCTTTCCTGCCCTTCCCTTTTCCTTTTGTCTCTCCTTCTTTCTCTCTGCTCCCCACTCAGCCTTTCTTTTCTCCCCCCTATTTTCTCTTCCTCCTCCCTCCCTTGTCTCTGCCTCTTTTGATTGGCAAAATAAGTCTTTGTTGGGTCATGGAATGAATCACCTTCTGCTTTTTAAATTTCCTTCCCTTTCTTTCCCTACCTTCCTCTCTTCTCACCTGGGTTTCTTTCTGTTATTTGCGATGAGATCACATTCACCTAGGCGAGGTATTTCCCTTGCCAAGTGAGAACCACGGTCCCCAGCAGGCAGGGTAGCAGGAGGCCAGCCTGGCATTCAGGAGCAGGTGAGGACCCCGCCAGCATCCAGAATGGAATATACTTTGGGTGTTTTTTTTTTTTTTCTCTGTTTAAAAGTGTGGCTTAGCCAGCTTTCCTAGTTAGTTATGCTTTCTGATTGGTTTCTGTCTGAATCAGACTGAGTTAACTTGAATAGGTCAGTTACCTGAGCTGTGTGGATACTCACTCTAGACCGACCCTGGATGGGAGAGGGTGGCTTGGGCTAGAGAAACCCTTCACTTGAGCTCCTGCCGAATACCTGGGAGGGGTTAGCACTGCCAGGTGGCCATCACCTGGCACTGGGGAGGCCACTTTGGGAACCCAGCCGTTCACAGGTATCCCAGAGGTGCATTTCAACTTGATTCTTATGTCACCAGCACTTTCCATCCCTGCAGATGCTCTCTGTCAGTGCCGTGGTCAGGCTGGGACCTGTGAAGATGACTAATGTGGTCTCCTGGTGCTATCCAGCCATGGCTGACTTCATGATGAGACCCATGAATGTGACTGTGCTGTCAGCCCTAGAGAATGTCTTTACCCTCAGTTTGCACAATCAGGGGCATCAGCAGGTGTCTGACCCAAGAAGGTCACAGGCTCTGGCTGTGGTGATGAAAAGCAGCCCAAGGGTGAGGGTTTCTTATCTCCTCTGAAATGTGACACTATCCCCCAAAAAAG